CAGTCGGAGACTTGCACAACTTCCTCGATTTCACAAACGCTGCACACTTTTGCAGTCTCTCTTATCGGCCTACTCTATCCTCCTTTTGACATCCGGGTGCTACCTGCCGGGTTCAGTCTTTTGATCTCTTTGCAGCATTCTATCACGCAGCTTAAGAACAACTGCATGGACAAGAATCTTCTTGGAGGCATTTTATTCAGTTTCTCTTTATCTCCACTGACAGATCATTTAACACATACCCTTTTGTTATTGTACTTCACTGCCTGCGACTTATAATCAAGTACATGCCCTAAAAGCAGTAGGCACGATGGCTGGGACGGGCGGTCACTGCGAAAGTCATTGGTGAAAGGACTGCGAGAGAGCTTCGACCACACCCACTCAGCCCTACCACCAATGACGTTGGCAGTGAGCGCCAGCCGTCGCACCCACGCCTTTTAGGGTCATTTGTCAGAACGTGGGAAGGGTTCATTGTCAAATGACTCGTCATTCAAAGTGTAGTTTTGAAGTAAAAAATTTATTTATTCCCGCATTATGTAACTGGTGCTATTCGGACTACTGTTTCTCCAATAAAGTCTCCGACTGGATTGCCAGTAGAGAAGCTGGCAGCAGGATCCGTTTGTCCATCAGCCATCGAAGCGTATTGAATAATCATCTTTTCCTCCGGAACTTTACCTTTCTAAAATATAAAATTAGAAAGAAAGTTATATGAATAGTGAACGGTCACTCACATTTCTCGACAGAACAACCGTTGTTTTACCAAAAGGTGGGATCATGCCAATTGGCGTTGACGTAGAAAAATTTGAGCCTGGTTGAAAGACTAACTGAAACATTTATTATAGTTGGAGCAGGGAAACGCGATTGTACGCTCCTCCTTCATATGGTTCGCTGTCATGAGCTCAATCAGGTACTGTGAATTCATCTGAAGGTGAAGCCCAGTGGTGACGTAATTAGAGGTCAAAATACGAAGGCACAAGGTAGCAAACACTTGAAGCAGCAGACAAAAGCCTCCTCAATATTACCGATAAAACCTGCTGTTCCCATTTTTTACGTGCATACAGTAAAGAGAAGGCGTGTCTGTACGGATTCTCGCTTGCTGCGATCGTGCCGATATCAGCTCATCCTCTTTCACTCACTCTCATCATTCGGAATGAGGAGGGCTGGTAGAAGGGCTGCTAAATAGTAGCTAAGCCGCTGGAGGTTGGCATGGGCCTAAGGGATGCTATGGGTCTAACACTTCAACTTGCACTAGATTTTTTTTACTGCTTGGATGTAGTCAGCCTCCACAGTCGTGCCGAATCGTGCTCCTCGTAAAGAAATTAGCTCTGCGATGTAGGAGCTTTACTGCATAAAGATGGATACGTTAGGGGGAGGACGAGGGTGGAATGACTGGGGCCCACCGGCGGTCGCGTTTTGTATCGCGTCGCGCTACAGAAAACGCGACCGACGACAGGAAGATGTCTTCTATCGCGCGCAATTAGCAAAGTGTTTCTGGCTACTTAATGTTGAATGTTTGAGACTCGGTGCAGATCCTGTCCAGTAGAACCCAGATGCTCTCCCCTTGCAATGTTCCCGCCCCGCCTTGGACGTGCTGAAATGTACACCCAGAACCCCATCTCCGATGACATTCCGATTGTTGCTGTCCCGTTTACAAAGTCAAGGTTATGAAACATACCTTAAATGCTACGTTTTTCTCACTTTGACTCCTGAGTTCTCTTCTCGACTCTCCAGTACCCACGAATAGTGGGTTTTGTGCAGGCAGAATCTGCATCGGCAACACATTGCATGCCATGATCAGTATAGAATGGGACCCACCTTCCCCGTAATGCTCGAAGAAAGTTACTGTGATAGGCTGGAGCTGTTGATAGCCCACTGAGATGATTTGAAAGTGATATAAAAGCAGTTGAAGCAAACAAGTAACCATTTTCACACCTAACCTTACTAATGGGATACGAACTCAAATTCGAACCTCCAAAATGCACGATTACTACATCAGGAGGAAAATCAAAGCACAAGATGATTAACTACTGTGACAGAAATCTGGCTTATAAGGTAAGGTTTGTGGAGTTTCTGTCATTATGGAACAACTGTTCAGGAATACTTTTCAGTTTGTATTTGCGGACGGTTCTAAATACTCTGTAGATCCTGACAAGATGGTTGGCATACTAGAGGTTGGAAAAGTGATAGACATCGTGATCACAAGACAGGTAGGGGGCTTTTTTAGAACAGCTGTTTCAGGCTCCAACAAGTAACCGGGTATGTGACAAGAGAATCGTAATTCGCCGCGTTGATGGGCGTCGCGTGCGACGTCGCGCCCGCAAATGACGATGGTTCCAGGTAGTAGATGGCGACAACAGGCAATTCAGAACCGAAAATAGTCATGAATGTCTACGATGACGGGGTCTACATGAAGTCCGGTGCTCCAATCGACAGGTTAACACGAGTTAAGAAAACGCCGCGCCCATCGCCGCGCGCGGCGGAGCGGCAAATTACGATCCTCTTGCCCTTCTCTCCAAGTAACCAAGTGGCACGTTCGATAGGATCTAGGATTCGACGACACGTGAAGCTAACTGCTATTCCATCCTCAGTAGTTCTCTCGACATACTGTGTTTCTCCACGCTAGAGAAAAGATCCTGAAAAAGTTCTGCCGGCTGTTGTCTGTATGTTTATCGACGGCCGTACCCGTAGCGGAGAGTGGCAGGCCTCATGACTACGGAGAGGCCGATTCCACACCACTTTCTCCTTCCGCGCGAGTAATTTCCTCTCCTCAAAGCTGCCTGCAATGAAGGCACTCAGTACTGTGCTCGAGCCAGTGAAATTAGATCCTGGCATCTGTCCTGGGGTGGGCTTAACGCTTATTCGTTAATCTTTCCCACCGCAAAATGCGTGTCTCTTCGTTTGTTTTCCCTTCCACAAAATGCTACGTGGAGTGTGAGAAGGTAAGCGATGTGGAGCAATCGACGGCTAGCAGAACTAACCGGTTGTAAGTGCCGGTATCAACCTAGCGTGATGCTGATTGTGTTAGCACTGATAGCACACTTCTAGCAGTGTAAAACCAAATCGTAGATCTTTTCTCATAACTTTATGCGGAAGAATCGCACAAATCAAAAAATTTTCGAGGTTATACTTCAAAGATTCAAAAAGTCAGAGTGATGATGAGTTGTTTAGGCAGGTAAAGGACCGGCAGAAGACTTGACTATCGAATACTTTCCGGTCGCTGCGGGCACTACAGACCCTAGCAAAAGCACTTATGGAGCCATTGCTGGAAAGACAATTGTGAAGCTGAAGCCAACTGAATAGATTGTAAAATAAACGTTTAAAGACAGCTCCCGCGATAAAAGTGTCAAGGATAATTGCTGATCAATTATGAAACAGTAGCTGATAAGTAATTCCTCAATGAAGGAAAAAAGAAACAAGAGCCCTCAAGAACACCATAAACAAAATCGCGCCCTGACAGTCACACCTCCCTGCGGTCTCTGTGCAAGCCCTGGCTCACAAATCACTTTGTCACATCTCCCAGTAGTGGATATCATCGAATGCGAAAAAAGAAACAAAAAACAACAGAAACATAGAGGAAAAACTCTTGAAAAGAAAAGGAAACATTTAAAAAGCCGGCGTCCGAACTTAGGGTTACGGTAGCGAGCATGTTTTAGTGTAGTGAAGTGCGTCGAGCTTTTGCACCACAGAAATTGCATCATTCGTGATTTTTACGCGTTTTACCTTACGAGATGGGTTGCTGTTGACTGTACGTGCTCCCAATGAATAAAATGTGATGAAGGAGAGCAGAATTATTTACGAGCACGAGCGCGGTCAGCAAAAAATACATGCAGTTCCGATTAATGACTGCCGTCCCAACAAGGAACAACTCTCCGTTAGAGGGCAGCTAGCTAGTGAGGCGGTCCAACTGAGCAGGCGTTAGAACTAGAACTTTGAGCGGTTCTAGCTCGCTCCTCGCTCGCTGAGGAGTCGCGAGAGTGAGATAGTATCTAGCTTGGGGGCTGAACTACCTGCCCAAGGAAGGACGACCATGTACTACTTGAGCGCGGGGGCTGTCTTTAAGTGATCAAGTGATATGAAGTAGAACAAAAGCATGAATAGTTCTAACAGAAGAAAAAAGCCAAGTGGCTGCACGCTGACAATGGGCCTATTGCATACGTGGCTGCCATGAACTCAAGACAGAGCCTGAACTCGGAGCAGCTCAGCGACGTTGGGCATTTTGCACTTCCACTGCTTCGCTACCCTTTCACAAGTCTCAGTCCGGTGAATTGTGAAGCTTAAGCAAGCTCGTCTAGCCACCAAGCGTGTCAGCTCAAGGAATGGCTGTCTAGATTGGTCGATACATCGATGGGAAGCGAAATGCCCCCACCCCGTCGCAGAAATGCCCCACTGAACTCTTGTATGTCCACGAA